AAGATATAATGAAATGGGAGCGGGTGGTACGCCTACCACAAGATAAATGAAATGGGAGCGGGTGGTACGCCTACTACGAGACAAATGAAATGGGAGCGGGTGGCACGCCTACCACGAGATAAATGAAATGGGAGCGGGTGGCACGCCTACCACGAGATAAATGAAATGGGAGCGGGTGACACGCCTACCACGAGATAAAGGAATTGGATCGGGTTGCACGCCTGCAACAAGATGTGAAAAGAAAGTGAAATCTGCCTTTGTTTTCCTTATTCTTGCTAGTGGTTGATTTTGATTCCTTTATAATTCTCTTGATATTCTGTTTTACCTGTTATTCCCTGAAGCATGTTTCCCACTCCTATCTTTATTTGTTTATTTTTGTATTTCTTTTCCGCTGTATATATGTTTGAACTGCACAGGTTTATTTGGTAGTTTGGTCCTAGCCTCGTCACTACTTCGCTGGGGTTAGGCTGGACACTTACCAGCACATGGCGTCGGTTGTGCTGATACTACTTTCTGCACTATGTGCAGATCCCGTAGCAGCTTTTGGACATTAGCTTGGAGGCTTCCTTCAGTCCACGCGGAGATCCAAGGTAGACCTGCAAGCGTCCGCAGGCCCTGGCGTCTCCCTCTATCCCTATTTCCTGTTTAATTTTCTATTTATTCAGAAATAGTGTATTATTATTTCTTCAGACTTTGTATGTAGCAATCTTAGATAGTCTATGACACTGTGACAACAGGTTTTGGGTGGTTAAGGCTTAAGTATTTGTAATAGATACAGTTTTCATATATTTTATTGTAGCCTTCCGCTTAAATTTGAATTTCTGCTGTTATCACATTATTGCCTTATAATTGTTAACCATAAATAATTGGATAATGGGGTAAGTAGTTAAAGGTTTGGCTTGCCTAGCTCACATTAGTAGGCGCCATCACGACCTCCGAGGGTGGGAAAATCTGGGTCGTGACATTAAATGATAACAAATGGCTCTAATTATAAATTTTGTGCTTTGCAGGAGCAAGTCTTGATTACGAGAACATTGAACAGTATTTGGAGCTAATTTGTAGCAAGGAAGGCCAACCGAAGGTAAATGTGCGTGAAAGAATAAGGAAAAAAGTAGAAGACAATTGAACTTCAAGAGCGCGGGCCAAGCATGGCCGCACTCAAGCCGCACTCGTCAGGCAGAAAAGAGTGCTATATGTGCGGCCCAAGCGCGGCCGAGCTCGTCACTTCGAGGAACGTTATTTTCGAGGGTAAATTTGTAAGTTCGGGGGCAACTATCCTTAATCTATAAGAATCCCAGCTCGCCCAAAAAGAGGCTATCAAGTTTTTTGAAGGATTATTGAAGGGCAGAAGAGGCAAGAGGCAAGGCAGAAGATTTGGCATAGAGTTTTACCTTTGTTCCTCTTGTTTTGATCATTAATGATGAATTCTACTGTTATGATTGTGAAAACGATAATGCGTAGCTAAACTCTTAATCTAGGATTTTAATGGAACCTCTTGGAGGATGAATTTCTGATATGTTAATATAGATTTGCCTTAATATTTTCTCTGTTTGTTCAACTATATTGTGATTACTGTTGATTGAAGGGTCCTCAATCGGCTGTGCCTATTTAGTATGCATTACTCGGGAGAGAGTGTATATTTAGTTAGTTGTTGAACAACACCACTCCTAATGTATATGAGGGATCAATACGAAGGGTTTAAAGGTGGGATTAGGGATAACAAAATCTTGGGTGCGATCTAAGTGAGCTGTAACTAAGGCCAGCTAGCGTAATTCGGGAGAATATGTCTAGTATATTGTTGTAACTACTCAAGAGAGAGTTACGACAGTTAGAGTGCTCATGATCGATAGAGAAGACTTAGGCAAATTTATAACAAACATAGCGGAAATGATTCCGACAAGAGGGGAAATTATAACCTTAGACCTTTCTCATTCTTGCTTACAACCAGTTTATAGCTAGTTCTATATTACTGCATTTTTATTACGTAATATTTAGTTAATAAACACCCAAATTATTACTCAAATATCTCTGAAGATTGAACACGTGAATTTCTATGAGTCCAATAGCTGTGATTGATAGGATAATTCCCTGTGGGATTCGACTCCGGACTTGTTTACCAGAATATATTTATAGCGACCGCTTTGTCTTTTTTATAAGGTCTAGTTGAGCGTGATCACTTCTCAATAAAACTTAATAAGATTTGAAAAGTGTGAGAAAATATACGTTGTACTCAATTGCTGTCTAGTTGTGCCCTTGCAAAGAAAACATGAGAGACATATTCTATCTTTTTCTTTTTACAAGTTGGAACATTACTTGTACCAATAAAAGTTGTGGTGAAGTAATAAATACTTATTTAATTAGATTTCGAATTCGAACTTTGAGTATGAAGTCGTTTTGGTTAGAAAATACTTTACCCTTTAATATGAAATTCCTTGTCGCGAATCCGAGTTTAATTGTGCCCAATACAGAGATCGAATACTGGTTGGGGAAAAATAAAAAATAAAAGAAACACTATCGTGCGGGAAACTAAAATCTTGCGTAGTGACAAAGGCCATAAATTTAAAGTTCATGGTTGCATATTGGAATTAAATTATAAAATTAGTTTGCTAAACTGATTGCATTAACTAGTCTTGATTATGAATTATATATAATTTTTAATTCACTAATCCCTTTTCACATTGACTTAATTGGACTTTAATTAAGTAGTACATTCTGGTACTGTTGACAATGAAATTTGTGGGCTAAGGAAGAAAACTTTGCCACGTTTACAAGATTAAGCTATGAGTGTCAAAGACATAACAAAACTAATTAAAGTATTCGTTCAGTATAAGCTTTACTTCAACACTTACATGTGCTACAGGGATTCCTTAACGCAATTGAAAGCCACAATGCTTTATTGCATTTGAATGCAACAGGTAATCTTGCCAAAATTCTTTCAATTGGAATAACCAAAACCACATTGGATATCATTAACAATGTCTTGACTAATCTACAAAGTTTCCTTCTTTTTTTTCCCCTTTCAAATCTGCTTTAAAAGCTTTTTTGTGCCGATATATCGGAAACAACCTCTCTATCTCAAACAAGGTAAGGATAATGTTTGTGTATATTCCAACTTTCCCAGACCCACTTGTTGAATCATACTAAGTATGTTGTTGGTGCAACATCTTCCTTTTCTTTTGTTTTTATTGGTGTGATGACCCGATATGTCATCTTATGTTTTAGAACTTAATTCTGTGTTTCAAAGCCTCAAATACCTTATTTTAGCCTTTTTCGATTTGCGTAGGTAGTCCGCGTATTTTCGGAAAGCTTATATGTTAAACAATGATGAAAATAAAAATTTTGCCTTAAAAATTCATTTAAGTTGACTTTGGTCAACGTTTTGAGCAAACCGATCTGGATCCGTATTTTGACGGTCGCGGTGGGTCCGTATCGTAAATTGGGACCTGGGTGTATGCCCAGAATTGAATTCGGAGGTCCCTAGCTCGAGTTATTAATTTTTATTGAAAATTAAAAGTTTAAAAGTTTAATGATTTTTATGAATTGACTGATGTTAGGTCTTATTGATATCGGATCCGTATTTTGTTTCTGGAGCTCGGTACAGGTCCATTACTATATCTATGACTTGTCTGTCAAATTTGTGAAGATTTGTTCGCAGTTGCGGGTTCATAATTGCGACACCTGCACCTGATCAAAATCTACAATTGAAGTGATTTTTTGTCATTCTTCAAATTTTCAAAACTAGAAAACGCTGGTGGCAATTTTTCAAAGAACTCTTCTTCCCCAATCCATTAGCAAAGTGATTCTATTTTCTTTCAATATTTCATTACATTTCATAAGTTTTCAACCTAAAATCTAGTGTTTTTATGGTGGAAATTGAGGGGTTGGGTAGAATTAGGAATTTTGTAAAATTGGGATTTAGACCTCAAATAGAGGTTGGATTCCAAAACAAATTACATAACCGGCCTCGAGGTTGAATGGGTAATCGAATTTTGGTTTGAATTTCGGGTCTGAACCAAGAGGGCCCGGGAGTTGACTTTTGTTGACTTTTTCAATAATAGCCTAAATTGAATCCTTTGCAATCGTGGGTAGTTTCTAAGGCTTAATTTGAATCGTTTGGTTGGTAATTTGCTAGATTCTTTTGGTTCGGAGGCTTGTTTGAAAGGCAAAGCTGTGGTTGAGCTTTGAATGGACCTTTGGAGCGAGGTAAATGTCGTGGTTAACCTTGACTTGAGGGATCAAGATTTGTTTGTCTATTTGCTACATGTATAGATGTTGGGTATAACATATATGTGAGGTGACGAGTACTTATGCGTTGTTGTCGTGTTAAAGCATGCGGGTGAGACTTGTTCCTTGAATTTTATTGCTTATTTTGATCATATTTTCTATGCTTAGACTAGTTATTATTTAATTGATCGTTCTTACCACGTTTATGGGTTTTTGTGATAATTGCGTATTATTTCTAACGTTGAGGTTGGTATTGTGGAACCATTGTTGACGTAAGGCTTGTTCTTGTTGATTCTATCTCCCCGTTATTACTTGTTCATTGTTATACAGTAAGGGAGAGTGTTAATGCACGAAGGGTGATGTCGTGCCGTATGTGAGTGTTAATGCATGAAGGGTGATGCCATACCATATTGTGAGAGTTAATGCACGAATGGTGATGCCGTGCCATATTTTTGAGAGTTAATGCACGAAGGGTGATGCCGTGACATATCTATTGATTTGTGATGAAAGTGAGTGTAAAAGTACGAAGGGTGATGTCGTGCAGTTTTTATTCATTGTGTTTACTCGTTTTACTGGTTAAAGGCATATTGACTGTTCTGATTATTATATCTGTTGTAATTGGCGTATTTTGTACCCCTTTCGCATGTCCCCTCCCAATAGTACATGCTTAGCTTTTATTTGTTGTTATCTTGTACATATATTGTTATCTGCACATATTTATTACAGGGGAGGGGGTGCTTCTTCTCTTTGTACATATATACTTTGGTATATTTATGTAAAAACAAACTCTCCAAAGTGAAATTTAAAATTGCTTGAAAAATGATATAGGTTGAGAAACTTCTAATAGTTAAGAAATTGAAAATATCTGTCTAGAAGTTTAATATATGGTTGATTTTTGCAAATTGCAATGTAGGAAGCTACTTATCCTTTTATGGAAGGAGTATATTTGCGCTCTATACATACACCAAAGAAATGAAGGCGCGACATATACTTTTTGCATAAGATTTATCAATGAATCATAGTCAATTAATATGTTATTTATCTCAATTTTCCCTACAGTAAATTATAATTTAACTGTCTTTGCTCCATCTAGGCTAACTAAATTGAGGAGCAAAAAATCTTATTTGAAAAGGTTATGGAGGGTAGCTTTGCTTGAGTATACATTAAAGTTGAATGTTTATTTTATTATATCATAATTTAAATATAAGGGCATGGCTCTTGGTATACTCAAGAACTGAATTTGACCAAAAAAAATGGTGGATTTTAAAGGAGTAAGAAACAACAAAGGCCATGACCAACGGTTGTTGGAGGCCGCTGCCACCAAATCCGGCGGCCTCCAATTATCGCCCTTCCATCACCACCACCAACGGTTGTTGGAGGCCGCCAAAACCAAATCTGGCGGCCTTCAATTACCGCCTTTTCACCACCACCATCAACAACTCTTTTCTTGTAAAGTTATAAAGATTTTCATGTTATTATTTACAATTTCTACCTATTGCCTTGTTCTTTATTGTCACTCTAATACATACCCTTTAGAATCCTTTTCAAATTCTTTCAACTCCTTTTCTTCATCCTCTCAAGATTTAATGCAAGGAAATATTCTACCTTCAACTGTGAGTTATCTACTACTCCTATTCTTTTCTAGTTCATAATGTATGCTCATGATACTTTTTTTTTTAAATAGAAAATAAAACAGATTATTTATTACAATAAATTAATTATATTGACCGTGTAATGCAATGAATTTATTTATATGTTACTTGGAAATACTATGTTATAGGTAAATAGTTATTCAATAAAGTTATTCGCAATCATAGGTGGAGTTAGAAATTTGAAATCATAGTTGTCTTAGTTATTAGGTTCCCTATTAAAATATTTATGCATTATTTAGTGATTTAATAATACAAACAAATTTACTAGATTCGTACGAACCTATAGTTGATACAAGCTCCGCCCCTATCTGCAATTACTATCTTTTAATAACTTTAATGATCAATTATTTATATTCTTTAAGATGTCATTGCATAGAACTTAAACTCTTTAATTCTATTTATTCCCTAATTAATTTCGTGGGCATTTTCAGAGCAAGAAGCAAAGTAAATTAAAACAAGTGTTAGAAGAGGCAGCCATGGAAGACAAAACAGTGATCATAACAACTCTAAATGCAGCATGGACAGCTCCAAATTCCATTTTTGATCTTTTTTTGGAAAGCTTTAGAATTGGAAACAATACAAATTCTCTGTTGAATCATGTATTAGTAGTAGCTTTGGATCAAACTGCGTATTCTCGTTGTTTGGAGGTTCATCCAAATTGCTATGCATTGATCACAAATGGAGTTGATTTTTCTGAGGAAGCACATTTTATGAGTGATGATTATTTGAAGATGATGTGGAGGAGAATTGATTTTCTTCGTATTGTTCTTCAGATGGGATATAACTTCATTTTCACGGTAAGCTTTCTTTTACCATTTCTTTTTAATAACGGTGGTGTTCGAGGGTAAATACTACATATCCGCCAGATGGTAGTATTTGAGGGTAAATATTATATATCCGCCATCAATCAGATGTTTATACTAAACCAAGAAATTTCACTTAAAAATTAAGGGAGAATAGTTATATTTTAACCATGATTAAATGAAAAATATTTGTATGAAAGACTACCTCCCACGGAAAATTCAGTGTTTTTTTGTCTCTCCTAGAACTTGAATTCGGATTTTTTATGGTTTCACGTCACCTACTTTATTAACCTGCAATCTTTTTATACTTTATAACAATAATGGTTATAGAAAAGATAAAAGAAAATTCTCTCTTTTATAATACATTTTGATTGGTCTTTTCTCTAAAGTTAAACAGCTTTTATTGAATGATGCCATTTGCAATTGCTATACATGTTTTTCTGACTTATTTTTTTTTAATTTTCAAAAATTATTATTATTTTTGTTTTTGTTTTTTTATACTCAATTTTTGTATTGTGGCCCAACTAAATCCGAATTCGCGTCTAAAAAGTCCACCTTGGAACTAAAACATCCTATAACAAAGGCGACAACTTTATACCCAAAGCTCGAACCTGAAATCTCTAACTAAGATTAAAATGAATGAGTGATCACTATTCTACCATAACCCTTAGTACTAAATCGATTTGACTGGCATTAAGGGAAAAGGATGGAGACCACTGGACTAATGATGTAGCCACTAGCCAAGTAACAAATTTTGAGACCTTAGGGTTTTTTACTTTTTAACTTATTTTCATATCATACTGTGACTTCTTTCTAGTTACATCTTTATGATTTTACAATTTGTGACCATATTATTTAATAGTTTCTTTTTAATTTTTGTAATTTTTTAGGATGCAGATATATTATGGTTTCGAAGACCATTTGCACATTTTTATTCACATGCCGATTTTCAAATTGCTTGTGATCATTACGTCCACAACTCATTCAATCTGAAGAACGCGCCAAATGGAGGGTTCAAATATGTGAAGTCTAATAATCAAACGATCCAATTCTACAAATTTTGGTACGATTCAAGGAATATTTATCCAGAAAAACACGATCAAGACGTACTCAACATAATCAAATTTCATCCATTTCTCAAGAAAATTAAACTGAAAATAATGTTTTTGGACACAGCTTATTTTGGAGGATTTTGTGAACCTAGCAAAGATGTTAATTTAGCGTGCACAATGCATGCAAATTGTTGTGTAGGTCTTGGTAACAAAATACATGACCTAAAAATGGCAATTAATGATTGGAAAACTTATATGGCTTTGCCAAATGGCGAAAGGATTTCAAAAAGACATACTTGGACTGTTCCAAGAATATGTGGGTTAAAATTCATAAAAAATCACTTTTCTTCCCATGTAATTAAAAAATTGTCATTACATCGAGTTTCAAATTCTACCAGTAAAATTTTGTAATAATCTCGTGGAGTTTTACTCGTGAAATTTAAAATTTCATAACAATGACTATTTTTTAGTTACAGGACCGAAAAGTGATTAGCCCTCGTTATTATTATGAACATGTGAGTCAAGATAATATCATTTTCTTTTAAACATCATCTGTTGTTTTTTCTCTTGTTTTTTTTTAAATTTCTAGATAAATCAATTTTTTCCTTTTATATATACTCATGAAAGTGTTATAATAATTCAAAATTAAGTACCTCTTGTATAGTTCTTGATCTTACAATACTAGAATTAGTCAAATAGGAAATGACATTTATCTTTTCGACATGTTTAATGAAGCTTAGAGTGGACGAGATTCTGACTGCATTTATCTTTTCTATGTTTTATTCATCAAAATATTTTGAAAAATATTTTTCTCTAGAGAAAAAAAGTTCGTTACTAATTATGAAAATAATTTTCCTGATTGAAGGTGGAATTTCATGATGATTGTCTCCTCTCTACCCGTAAGAGCCCAACCCCTTAGCCCCATCTCACCCCACCCTCGAACCTCGACCCCCTCACCTACCTCCCACCCTCAATGGATTAACCTTATTAGTGTAGCGATACTTCAGACATCAGTGACCAGCGAACACAAATGGCGCCAGAAAATTGCACTTACTTTTATTTGAAAATAATAAAGAAAAAAGGAGAGTTCAACAAATCCATTTTTTTGTCGCTAAAAAATGGCCCTACAAGTAGATGTTTCTAATAAACTAGTGGGAAATAAAATGAGGGAAAAGTTAAATTACCTTTACGAAAATGGTAAACGTTACTATAATATTAATATCAATAAATAAACTTATATTTATTTGTCAAGAAAATCAATCAATCAATTATTTATGTAACCAAATATAAATTCGAAGTTGAGCGAGCGAGCAACGACGCAAAATTTGCCTTCTTCTCAACTATTTAAGAGCTAGAATAAGTGCTTCTCTATATAAACACATAATTTTTCCTTTCTGTTTTTAATGAGGGACAAACTTTCTTTGTAAAAGGAATTTTTTTAAAATTTCATTTCTTTCCGTTTCTCATTCATACCATACTAAGCTATAAACCAAATACGATTTATTTATCAAGAAAATTGGGCTAAAATTATGGTACTTTTAGACACAGCTTAGTTTGGAGGATTTTGTGAAACTAGCAGAGATCTTAATTTAGTGTGCACGATGCATGCAAATTGTTGTATAGGTCCTGGTAATAAAATACACGACATAAAAATGGCACTTGATGATTGGAAAAATTATATGGCTTTGACAAGTGAAGAAAAGAAGTCAAAAATACATACTTGGACTGTTCCAAGAATATCTGGATAAATTAATAGCCCGCTTGGACATAAGATTTTTTTTACTTTTTTTTTTTAAAATCAATATTTGACCATAAAATTTCCAACTTCCACTTGAAGATGAATTTTGGAATTTTTCGAAAATGTGAAAAACACTAAAAAGTTGTTTTTCAAAATTTTTACTTAGATCACTCACAAAACTTCAAAAACAACCCAAAATTATATTCATGTCCAAACACAACTCTAATTTTCAAATACCATTTTCACTTGGAACTTATGTCCAAGCGCCCACTTATTCTAATTTATAGGTCTCGAATTTGAATTTTGGATATGAAAAAAATCTTGATAGGAAGTGCTTTTATCTTTAATGGGCCTTATGCGGTGCGATGAAGAATAAAAGACTTGGACAAAATACAAAATTGATCGATCGACCAAAATTAATTGTATTCGCTAGTCAAAAAGTATATAAAATACGTATATTATTTGTAATAATATACACATATACAAATATATATATATATATATAAATTTGTCCTCACATTCATCTGGTCAAAGTATTGGCCAATCCTTTACTTATACTAGACTGCCAAAGAATTGTACACATGATGTTGTTTTGTGGAATTGAGAGGCTAAACTAACATAAAGGGGAGAAATTCAAAAATAGTCAAATTTACAAGTGTTCATTTAAAAATAACCACAGTTTCAAAAGTAATCGAATTTAGCTGTTTTTTATGTAAAGATAAATTTGAACGAAAATACCATTCAAAGTCCGGAAAATACTCCAGCATAATATATTGAAGTTCCAGCAAGTATACTGAAACTCCAATATATTATAATGGAGTTCCAACATAAGTATACTGAAACTCCAACATATTATAATGGAGTTCCAGCATAAGTATACTGGAACTCCAGCATAATATACTGGAGTTCCAGTATAATATACCGGTCCAGTATAATATGCTGGAAGTTCATACACAGGTGCTCCATTATAGTATGCCAGAACTTTCCGCGTGTTGGAGTTCCAGCATAATATGCTGGAAGTTTATACACAGGTGCACCGACCTCCAGTATATTATGTTAGACAGGTCCCTATTGTAGCAAAATAGTGGTTATTTTTCAATGACTTTGCAAATGCTGGCTATTTTTGAATGACCATTCCGAAAACTGGCTAGCCCGTGCTATTTTAACCATCAATTTGTTGCTATGTTAAGGTTGTGACTTCTTGTAACGACCTGGCCGGTCGTTTCATGAGTTACCGCTCCATTTCCCCCATTTCTGCTTCTTATTGCCTTGTTTAGCTGTATTTTGTGTTATCGGGTTGGTTGGCTCGGGTTCGAAGAGGTTTTGGTAAGTTTTGAGACACTTAGTCTCTTTTGAGTAAGGTTAAGTTGGAAAAAGTCAACCAGATGTTGACTTATGTGTTAAAGGGCTCGGATGTAAGTTCCGATGGTTCGGATAGCTTTAGGAGGTGATTTGAGACTTAGGAGCGTGATCGGAATGAGTTTTGGAGGTCTAGAGTAAATTTAGGCTTGAATTGGCGAAATTGGAATTGAGGCGTTTTCTGGTTGATATGCGAGATTTTGATATAGCGGTCAGAATGGAATTCTGGGAGTTGTAGTAGGTCCGTTGTGTCATTTGGAATGTGTGTACAAAATTTCAGGTGAATCGGACGTGGTTTGATAGACTTTTTGATCGAAAGCGAAATTTAGAAGATTTTGGAATTCTTAGGCTTGAATTCGATATAAATTTAGTGTTTTGATGCTATTTTGAGCGTTCCGAAGGTTGAAACAAATTTGAATGATGTTATGGGATATGTTGGCATGTTTGGTTGAGGTCCCGAGGGCCTTGGGTGAGTTTTGGGTGGTTAAACGGACCATTTCAAGTTGTGAAAAGTTGTAGAAAAATCTGTTGTACTGTTGCAGACATCAGTGTTTCGCGTTCGCGAGTGGGCCCTCGCATTCGCGAAGGGCTAGAGTGTGAGGCTGAAGGTTTGGCCTTCGCTTTCCCGAGGGAGGCCCCGCGTTCGAATAGTTGGAGTCAGGAAGCATCGCATTCGCGGGAGAGCAGACTCATTCACGATAGTGGAGCTGCTGAGGCATCGCATTCGCGAGGGTGTCGTCGTGTTCGTCTAAGAGAGATTTTTGGTCAACCTAAGTTTGTGCTTCGCAAACACGAGGGGTTGATCGCGTTCGCGAAGAAGGATTTGAATGCCTGGGCAGAATGTTTTAAAAGCTCATTTCCGCGATTTTGGGCATAAGTTTCTCCATTTTTGGGCGATTTTGAAGCTTTTTGTAGGGAATTGAAGAGGGAATTAAGGGGGAACACTTGGAGGTAAGATTTATGGACTTAATACTCAATCCTAATGTATTTTCTACTTAATTAATCATGAAAATTGTTGAATTTAAGCCTAAATATTGAAGAACTAGGGCTTGTAATTAGAGACCTAAATTAGGGATTTGAGGGATCATTTGTGGTTGGATTTTGGTGATTTTGATATGAATGAACTCGGGGAGTGATAAGGAGTCTATTGGTGTAATTTTTATCGAAATCCGAGACGTGGGCCCTGGGGTCGGATTTGGCCAATTTCGGGATTTGTGTTGTAATTTGATTTCTTTCGAGTGGGCTTTGTTCCCTTAGCATATTTTGACGGTTTTTCACTGATTTTGGTTTTGGAGCATCCGGAGGCCGATTCGAGAGGCAAGGGCATCGCGGGCTAGAGTTTGGACCGGATAGAGGTGAGTAATGATTGTAAATGTTGTCCTAAGGGTATAAAACCCCAGAACACACATCGTTATGCTATGTTGAGGTGATGCACACGCTATATGACAAGCGTGGGGTCGTGCATCGTTGGAGATTGTGACTTAGTCCGTCCCAAATGACTGTTTTACTGCGTATTTGATTGAAAACTGTTTGCTATCATTATGTTTTGGGCTGAATGTCATATTTGGGCCTTGTGCCAACTGTTTTGGACCCTTCAGACTTTTACTGTTATTTCCTCATTGTTTTAATTTTTATATATGTATTCAGTCATGTATTCCTCAGCCCAAAATATCATTTAAAGTGTTAAAACAGAGTAAACATGTTTACTGCTTTTATAACTCAGCCCAAAATATCATTTAAAGTGCTATATTCTACTGCTTTTATAACTCAGCCATGTTTACTCTGTTTTAACACTTTAAATGATATTTTGGGCTGAGCATCTTGTTTTACTGAGCCCGAGTGGTTTTTTTTGAGATTTTTGACTGAGTAAGGCCGAGGGCCTATATTGTGAGGATACTTTTGGGTCGGGATGCACCCCGCAATAATGATATATTGATTCATGATTATGAGGCCGAGGGCCTGAGTTGTACGCCACAAGGTGGCTTGATATGAGGCTGAGAACCTATTGTTTATGCCTCGAGATGGCTTGATATTGCGGTTGGGCCGTAAGGGGCTCCTATCGGAGTCTGTACACCCCCTAGTGAACGCGGGTACCCATTGTGATATGAGATATAGCCCGAGGGGCTGGTGTTGTTCCATGTTATTGCCTGGGGGGCTGATTCTATTGACATTGTGCCCGAATGGCGGATTTTATGCGTTTATCTTTCCTAACTGCCTTTCATTTACTTGTTTAACTGTTAAAAAGGTGTTTTAAAGAAGCGTATACTAAACTAAAGTGTTTTATGCGATTTCACTATTTTATTGCACTTTATTGGTTTTATTTTGCCTCTTTATAGCATGTTGTTATGTTTTTACGTGATTTCTTATCGCTCAGTTTTCATTTATTGTTATTACTCACTGAGTTGGAGTACTCACTTTATTTTCTGCACCCTGTGTGCAAATTCAGGAGCTTCGGGTCCCGCCAATGAGGGTTGATTGTTCCCAGCAGGCCATTTGGAGTCCACTAGGTAGCTGCTCGGCGTTCGCAACCTAGTGTTTCTCCTTCCTATCTTACTTTTTGTTCCTAGTTCTGTAATAGATGGTATAAACTCTTTCAGACTTGTAGACTTATGATAGATGCTCATGACTGGTGACACTCCGATGTCGGGTTGTGTTTACTCCGCAAATTATATAGTTTCACTGTTTTTCTTGGGAGTTTATCATGTTAATGACTTAAACTGTGTTATTTCAATTGCTTAAAAATGATTTGGGTGTTATGTCGGCTGGCCTTGTCTTCACGAGAGGCGCCATCACGACCGGGTCTGGATTTAGGGTCGTGACACTTCTGCATTGCTTTCTCTAGTTTAATTTTCGGATTGTTTGCTGATACACATTAGGGCCCATTTTGGGTATAAAGTAAGGGTGTTTAACGGGTGGACCAGGCCGGTTCGGGTTGGGGAAAAATGAAACCGGCCAGTTTCCAATCCGAGCCGGTTACGGGGTAGTCTAAATCACGCTTAACAGGTTCGGGTCCATATGAGTAACAAATGAACCGTAAGGATTACGGATCCAAGGGGCCGGGTCGGGCCGTTAGTGTTATTAATTTTTTTGTATTTTGTATAATTTGTAATTTATATTAATATAAAGTAAAAATATAAAGAATACAATGAAGATGGAAAAAAATTGCACTTATAAATTGCAAGTGCTTTTTTATTTCAAAATTCAAACTTACAAATTGAAGTTTACATTTAACTACAAGTAAATTAACGAAAAAAGAGTATTACTATTACGTTCTGCCCTTACATCGTAAAAGTTAGGGCTAAGCTATAGAACTAGATACGTAAGAGAAAGAGAGGAGAGCAGAACTTTACTTCTCTGCTGAGGCATAAGCAATAGCAAACAATCTCTAACTAAGTAGTTTAAGTGGTCCGCTGTCTAACATCTTTCGTATCTTGTTCGTGTTCGGTGACCTTCGCTGAGGTTTTTGATCTACCTCTGAAACCTAAATCCATCTTTTTAAATGGCTAATGCCTAGATTAGGTCTTAAAAAAAGGCTGTCCATAGAAAGAATTAACTCCAGGCTGGCATGACTTTGAGGTTCACTCAAGATCCGGATTACCTCTGGGATTATTAATTACGTATACATAAGGAATATTTAACAAAGCAGACCAGCACTTTTTATTCATTAATAGCCGTTACAAAGGTTTTGCATTGCCTTAGTAAGTTCTTCATAATCAATATGAACTTCTTGGCAATCTATTGGAGTGTTATATTCAGATGGGTTACCATGTGTTAATATATCTTCAAGTGAAGAAATGAAGAAGAGGGGGGGGTGTATTTATAGATTTTCAAAGGGCTAAATTAATAATTACAAAAAGTGTTATTATTTTTAAAAAATTGCCCAAAATGGACTATTTGTACAATCCAGTCGTTGGGCAACGACCAAAAGCCAGCTGACCATTGCCAACGGTCTAAAACGTTTTAAAAAAGAATTCTGAAATCTAGCCATTAAACCGGTCCGGACCGGTTAACCGATTCAACAGGAATTTTAGTTGACCGAGTTTGACCGGTCCGGTTAACCAGATCTATTTAGGTGAACGGACCAACCCCCTAACCCAGCCCACCCGGCCCCCTAAGTACCGGTTGGGTTTCAACCGGTCTGGGCCGGTCCAGAAACGGGTCAGCCCGGTCCGTTTGACACCCTTAGTATAAAGAACATTTCTATATTTACACATATTGAAATTCGGTATTTAAAATACTGGCAAAATAATATTGAAAGTTTTGTGAGATATGTTATTGTCCATGTTCTCCTGGTTACTCAAGTTTGTTTGGTTTTGTTTCCTTAATTCGTAATTAATCTTTGCTTTGTTGAAGCCTGACTTTCCGTGCAAAGGTTGGAATTTGAATTTTACTCAAGTGAAGTCTGAAGTTAGATTCTGGTAATTCGAACTTCAGACTTGAAAAACTGTAGTTTGAAACTTTAAACCCGAGTTTGAAATTTCAAATTTGAAGGTCTCGAGTTTGATTTTGAGGCGGCTGAACTTTGTAAACTTGGGTCATTGTTTAAATAACGGTTCAAACAGCTAATTGATTTGTGCACTTCACCTTTTTGCTTATGGCAAGTTTTACACTAATTAAATTTCTTTTGAAGCTCAACGACCCCGACACTAGTGGTCTGTGCTACTACGTTTGATTTGCTTTTAATTTGTAAACTTTGTAAACTTTGTCTGTCACGACTCAAATCTCCCTCAATAAGATATTGTGACGGCACCTAGTCTCTAAGACTAGGTAAGTCTAACAGTTGCGGAAAAACTGAACAACAACAAATATAGCTACTATACTTTAACAATAACAGGTGTATATATATAAACTAAAAAACTGTCACTCGACATGTACAAGTAAAACCAGCAATTTTGAGCATAAACAACTCCCCAAAGACCCGATAGTCACAAGTCACAAGCTCTAGGGAAAAACTCTAATTGTCTCTATACATCAGTGTTTAGGAACAATAAGAAAAAATAGCATAAAGGATAGAGAGGGACTCCAAGGTCTGCGGACGCTGGCAGGTATACCTTGAAGTCTTCGAAAGCTGCAGCAAATACTCCTATTAGCGGGCTGATAGGAGGTACCTGGGTCTGCACACAAAATATGTGCAGAAGAGTAGCATTAGTACATCATAATGGTACCCAGTAAGCTCCAAGCCTAACCTCGGTCGAGTAGTAACGAGGTCAGGTCAGGACCCTACTGGAGTATAACAAATAAGGCAGAAGATATAACAATATGATGAAAGACTGAGAATTAGCAATGAGGAAATTCAAAAAATAACAACACAACACATAGGGTAAACAACAGGGGCGCTCCCGAGATACCGTTTCGTAGTCCCAAAAGTAAATACTCAACAGGGGATCTCCCGAGGTAGTGCCTCGTAGTCCCAAAAATAAATATGCAACAGGGGATCCCCGAGGTACCGCCTCGTAGTCCCAAAGTAAATATGCAATGATGATCTCCCGAGGTACCACCTCATAGTCTCAAAAATAAATATATGATAGGGGATCTCCCGAGGTACCGCCTCGTAGTCCCAAAATTAAACACACAACTCGAAATCAATGGGAACAACAATTACAACAAGAAATCCTACAGTTTAAGACTAAATACAAGTCAAGGAGAAAGCAGGAAATCAACTAAGCATGTTGTACAGGTTTCAAATAAGCAATTAAGGCACGTAGACATGTTATATTAGGCTAAACAGGATAACTACACATGCTGCTATAACTCAATTAAGATGTAATAGGTTACTGCTCAGTAAAAATCGAGTTTTATGTTAATTAGGCTGTGTACGCACTCGTTACCTCGCGTACACGGCACTCACATATCATACAAGTATCACAACAGTACCAAATCCTAAGGGAAATTCCCCAAACAAGGTTAGACAAGCCCCTTACCTCAAGTCAAGCTCAATCAATTAACAAGAATGTCTTTTCCTCGACTTTCCGACTCCGAATGGCCCAAATCTAGCCAAAAGTAATTTTATATCATAAATATAACTATAAGAAACTAATGTAGTTAATGAAATCAAGACTTTAACAAGAAATTAGAAAATCGCCCCAAAAAATCGACCCGGACCCACGTCTCGGAATCGGGTAAAAGTCACAAAATACGAACACCCATTCAACTACGAGTTCACTCATACCAAAATTACTCGAATCCGATACCAAAATCTCAATCAAAAAAAAATATTTGGTTGAAGAACTTTCTAATTTTCTCTCTAATTTCTCAACCCAATCCTTAATTAAATGATAAAATTAAAGATAGATTAGTGGAATATAACCAAAAATGAGTTAAGAATCATTATCCAATAGTTTCCACTGAAAATTGTTCAAATTGTCGCCTAATTCCGAGCTCTCAAAGTCCCTAAGTGAAAATGAGATCAAACCCTTGTAACTTCCCTTTTTTCTGTCTAGTGATCTCGCACCTGCAGAGTCTCCATCGCAGGTACGGACTTGACTTAAAACACCTGGGTCCGCTTTCTGTAAAACCAATGTCCACTTCTGCGGACTTCTCACCTAACTCCTTTCTCCACTTCTGCGATCACCCCTCCGCAAGAGCGGCTCCGCTTCTGCGGTCCTTATGCCGCACCCGCGACCACTGACTACCTGAACCAGGGCCGCATCTATGACCTTCCTCTCGCACGTACGTGTCCGCACCTGCGGCTAACCTCACTGTAGCTGCGATGACACCAGAAGTTGGAAAAACTTCAACAATTTCAACACAACTCCAAATGATCCATTAACTACCCGAAATCAACCCGAAGCCCCTGGATCTTAACCAAACATACCGACAGGTTCAGAAATGCATACGAACTTAGTCGAGCCTTTAAATCACATCAAACAATGCTAAAAATACGAAATGCACTCCAATTCAAACTTAATGAACTTAAAACTTCAAACTTCTACAACCGATACCGAAACATATCAAACACGTCCGATTGACCCCAAAATTTGCACACAATTCACATTCGACATTACTGATTGTGATAACCCGATAGGTCATTTTATTAAAATCAAATTTTGTCTTTCGAGGCCCCAAAAACATAATTTTAGTCCTTCTCGATTTGTGTGTGCAATTCGGGCGTGTTTTCGTAAAGTTTTTATGTTAAAAACTGAGAAAAATATGAAATTTTACTTTGAAATCCATTTGAGTTGACTTCGGTCAACGTTTTGAACAAAAGAATTTGGATTCATGTTTTAACAGTCTCGGTGGGTCCGTATCGTGATTTGGGACTTAGGCATATGCCCGGAATCGAAATCGGAAGTCTCTAGCCCGAAACATCGGACTTTGTCGAAATTTGAAAGTTATATGATTAATGAATTTGAAGTGTTTGACCAAAGTTTAACTTTTTGGATAACGGGTCCGTATTTTGGTTCTGGAACTCGATATAGGTCCAGTACTATATTTATGACTTGTCTGTGAAATTTGGCAAGAAACAAAATTGGTTTGACGTGATTCGGACGTCCGGTGGTAAAAATATAAATTTCAAAATTTTCTTGAGAATTTCATTTGATTTGGTGCTAAATTCGTAGTTGTAGGTATTATTTTGGCGATTTGATTGCATGAAGTTTTTAGACTTGTGTGCACTTTTGATTTAGAGCCCCGAGGGCTCGGATGAGATTCGGAAAAGCCACATGGTGAAATTGAACTTAGAACATTTGGTGGTATCTTCAATTTTAGGGAAGTGGCCTTTGATCTTGCATTTGCGAGATCAGAGTTCGCAATGGCGAACATATCAGTCTCGCATTTGCGAGCTACTCATCGCAAATGCGAAAAGTAGCTAGGTAAGGCACTGATTTGAAATGCGGTCATAGGGTCGCAATTGCGGAAGGTCATGTTCGCATTTGCAAACTAATCTTCGCATTTGCGTATGCAATAGAGGTGTGAAGGGCTTTTCATTTGCGATGGTTCCTTTGCATCTGTGGGATTCGCATTTGCGACTTTGCGAAGACGAGGTCGCAAATGCGATATCTACAGCTGGGTAAATATGACTTAGACGGGATTTTTGATTCATTCTTCAAATTTTCAAACTCAAGAACCCTAAATGCGATTTTCCAAAGAACGTTTCTTCCCCAAATCATTGGTAAGTGATTCTAAACTAGTTTCTTTCAATCTTTCACTACTTTTCCATAGATTTCAACCAAAAATCTAGAGTTTTCATAGTGGAATTGGGGGTTTTTGAGTAGAAATTAGGAATTGTATAAATTGGAGATTTAGACCTCAAATTGGGGTCGGATTCCAAAACAAATTACATAACTGAACTCGAGGGTGAATGAGTAATCGAATTTTGGTCTAAATTTTGGTTTTGGACCAAGCGGGCCCAGGTGTTGACTTTTGTTGACTTTTTCAATAATGACCTAAACTGAACTCTTTACAATCGTGGGTAGTTCCTAAGACTTAATTTGAATCGTTTGGTTGGTAAATTGCTATGTTCTATTGGTTCGGAGGTTTGCTTGAAAGGCAAAGTAGTGGTTGAGCTTTGAGTTTGGTCCTTGGAGCGAGGTAAGTATCGTAGTTAACCTCAACTTGAGGGATTAGGACTTATTTGTCTATTTGCTACGTGTTTAGATGTTGGGTACAATGTATAGGTAAGTTGACGAGTACCTATGCGTTGTTGACGGGTTAAAGAATGCAGGTGAGACTTGGTTTCTTGTATTTATTGCTTTCTTTGATCATGTTATCCATGTTTAGACTAGTATAATTAAGTTGATCGTTCTTATCATGTTTACAGATCTTTTGGTGATAATTGAGTATTGATTTCAAGGTTGAGGTTAGTATTGTGGAACCAAATGTTGAAGTAAAACTTGTTCTTGTTATTTCTATCTCCCTGCTATCTATTGTTCATTGCTTATGGTAAGGGACAATGGTAATATACGAAGGCTAATGTCGTGCCATGTTATGAGAGAGTAAAAGCACGAAGGGTGATGCCGTGTCATATTGTGAATGTTAATTCACGAAGGGTGATGCCGTGCCATGTTATAAGAGTTAATGCACGAAGGGTGATGACGTGCTGTTTCTATTGATTATATGATGAGGTTGATAGTAAAAGCACGAAGGGTAATGCCGTGCATTTTTCTTTACCGTGTTTACTTAATAATATTGGTTACAGGTACATTGGTTGATCAAGTTCTCATTACTGTTATGTTTCTCTATTTTGTAATTCCCTCAAAATGTTCCCCCTCCCGATATTACTTGTCTATCTTTTACTTGCCGTTATTTTGCACATATACTACTAAATTGCACATTATGTGGGTGTCTTGTCATAGTCTCGTTACTACTTCGTCGAGGTTAGGCTTGACACTTACCAGTATATTGGGTCTGTTGTACTGATACTACACTGCATTCCTGTGCAGATTTTGGTATTGGCCCGAGCTGATCTTGAGGTTAGCTACTGGATTGATCGACCGGAGACCCAAGATAGATCTGCTGGTGTCCGTAGACCCTGTAGTTTCTCCTTAGTCTTAGTGTTTTACTATTACTTTTCCTTCAGAACAGTGTATTTACTTTCAGACTCTGTTGTAATGAATCATAGTAGCTCGTGAGTTGTGACTCCAGATCCTAAATATTTTAAATGTTTTGGGCTTATGTTATTACGCAAAGCTGTTTTAGTTTCTGTTCATCTTAATTATTCTTATTATTGAAATTGGTTAAAGTTGGTGCTGAGAATCCTCTAATGTTGGCTTGCCTAGCAAGTTAAATGTTAGGGGCTATCATGGTCCCGATGGTGGGAAATTCGGGTTGCGACATTGACCTACTACAACTTCCAGTATTGGAATCCGACTTCGATATCAAAAAGTCTACTCCCGGTCAAACTTCCCAAAATCCAACTTTCGCCATTTCAAGCATAATTCCGCTATGTATCTCCAAATCACAATCCGGACACACTCCTAAGTCAAAAATTACCTAACTGAGCTAACGGAATCGACGAAACCCCATTCCGGAGTCGTCTCCACACAGTTCTAACTACAACCAAACTCTTAGAACTTAAGCTTTCATTTAAGGGACTAAGTATCCCAATTCACTCCAAAACCAAAAACAAAATCTCCCGACAAGTCACATAAGCATAAAATATACGGGAAAAGCAGTAAATAGGGGATCAGAGCTAGTACTCTCAAAACGAGCGATCGGATCGTTACAATATAATAATAATAATAATAATAATAATAATAATAATAATAATAATAATAATAATAATAATAATAATAATAATAATAATAATAATAACGACTAAGAACCACAATATATACTATTATTGGGGATACTTTTTTGGTTTCTGATATGAATCTTGATGTACTTTCTTGTTGGATTATTCTCAGCGTGTGATTAAATCTTTTTCTGTCAATTGTATATCAATTTAATTCCTTCAACCTTTTAAACATGATTTAATCAATGGGGTCTGTTAATATGGATAAGAACAAAATGTCAGCTCTCTTTCTTCTTCTTTTTTTTTTTGGAGGGGGATAGGGAATTATCCGCCTGTTGTTGGATACTTGCATTGTTCGATTATATTTAGATTTATACTGTATAAGGCTCATTTAAGGGAGAAGTACTTCTTAATAGGATTTTTTTATACTCTCGACTCAAATTTAATCGTACATTCTTATAGTTCAAAATAAGTATTTATTTATATAATAAAAAAATTAATTATAACTTCAAAAAAATCCATCGAAAAGAGGAATTGTTTCCCAAATTCAAGAACAATTATGTTCGTTTTGTCAGTGGCTTTCACTTTTCTGAAAAGCCATTTTGATTGTCACTTCAACATCATCAAACAGCAGTTCAAACTGTTGTAATTAGTTCTCCGTCTTTATCTCTTCACTAATTGAAAGAAAAAACACGTTTGTGAAGTGAGCCTTTACTCCCTTGTTCAAATTATCGTACAATTATTCGAAATTATCTATTGAAGTGATTTTTTTATAATATTAAAATCAAATACCTATTTTATCCTTTAAATTATAAATTTTATCTTTTTTTTTCTTTTCTTTTAAAAAAAAACTTTTAAATTTTATGATTTTTTCCTTTTAATTTATATTATGAACTAACCTATAAAATAAATAAATCATATTCATGAATTAAAAAAATAACAATAGTAAGAAAATATATTATTATTATTCCGATAGTATATATAATAAAAATATTTATAGTAATCAACTGTATTATTGTTCCGATATTATATAAGCTATAAAAGTATTTTTTATTTTATAGTAAAATATATTTGTTCTAAATGTAGGTACATAATGTATATTAAAATGAGAAAAAATTATAATATTCAAAAAAAAAAAAAGATAAAAGTTGAAAATTAGAGGCTAAAATAGATATTTGACAATCAAAAGCTTGAAAAATTCGGTTGAGTGACCTTTTGAGTGTTATATGCATGTTAAGTGACTTTTCTGTCATGAAAAAAAGTGACTTTTCTGTATAAACGAAAGAAAGATGTTTACTAGATAATTTCAGATAATTGTGATGACCTGGTAGGTCATCTTATGATTTAAAAACCAAATTCTGTATTTCGAGGCCTTAAAAATCTTATTTTCTCCGTCCTCGATTTGTGTGTGCAGTCTGAGCATATTTCCGGAAAGCTATTATGTTGAAAGTTGATAAAATAAGGAATTTTGCTTAAAAATTTATTTGAGTTGACTTCGGTCGATATTTTTGGTAAACGGATCCGGATTCATATTTTGACAGTCCTGATAGATCCGTATCGAAATATGGGACTTGGGCGTATACCCGAAAATGGATTCGGAGGCCCCTAACCCGAGTTATGAATTTTTGTTGAAAATTGAAAGTCGGAAAATTAATGTTTGATCTTATTAGTATCAGGTCCGTCTTTTAGTTTCAGAGGCCGGTACAGGTTCATTATAATATCTAAGACTTTTCTGTGAAATTTGGTGAGAAACGGAATTAGTTTTACGTGATTCGGACGTCCGGTTGAGAAAATAGAAAACTTGAAGCATTCTTAAGAATTTCATTTGATTTGGTGCTAAATTCATAGTTCTAGGTGTTATTTTGGCGATTTGATCGCGCGAGCAAGTTCATAAGATGTTTTTAGACTTGTGTGCATATTTGGTTTGGAGTCCCGAGGGCTCGGGTGAGTTTTGGATGGGCTACGGAGTGAATTGAACTTAGGAATTCTTGTTGGTGTGCTTCAGGTCTGCAGACTTCACATTTGCGAGGTCTGGCTCGCAAATGCGAAGAACTCATCGCATTTTCGAGCAGTTGGGTTGGGGTGAACTTCGTATTTGCAAAGTGTTGGTCTCATTTGCGATCATCTCAGGTCGCATTTGCGAACGGGGTTGGGGAACACTTCGCATTTGCGAAGGATTTCTCGCAATTGCAGGGTTCGCAATTGCGAACCCCTGGTCGCATTTACGACATCTGCAGCTGTACGGAATTTTTGATTCATTCTTCAAATTTTCAAAACCTAAAACACAAGAGGCGATTTTCTAAAGAACATTTCTTCTCCAAATCATTTATAAGTGATTCTAAACTAGTTTCTTTCAATCTTTCACTGCATTTTATAAGATTTCAACCTAAAATCTAAAATTTTCATTTTGGAATTGGAGATTTTTGGCTAGAGACTAGGGATTTTAAAATTTGGGGATTTAGACCTCAAATTGATGTCAGATTCCAAAACTAATTGTATATCCGGGCTTGAGGGTGAATGGGTAATCGGATTTTGGTTCGAATTTCGGGTTTGGACCAAGCGGGCGACTTTTGTTGTCTTTTTCAATCATGACCTAAATTGAATTCTTTGCAATCGTGGGTAATTCCTAAGGCTTTATTGGAATAGTTTGGCTGGTAATTTGCTAGATTTTATTGGTCCGGAAACTTGTTTGAAGGGAAAAAGCTGTGATTGAGCTTTGAGTTTGGCCGTTGGAGCGAGGTTAGTGTCGTGGTTAACCTTGGCATGATGGATTAGGACCTAATTATCTATTTGCTACATGTTTAGATGTTGGGTACAACGTATAGGTGCGGTGACGAGTACCTATGCATTGTTGTCGGGTCATAGCATGTGGTGGGGTCTTATTCTTGTAATTGTTGCTTTCCTTGATCATATTATCCATGTTTAGACTAGTTAACCGTTACGTTGATCATTCTTATCATGTTTACATATTTTGGTATTGATTGAGTATTGACTCAAAGTTGAGGTTGATATTGTGGAACTAAATGTTGAAATAAGCCATGTTCTTGACATTTCTATCTCCCTATTGTTATTGATCATTGTTTTGGTGAGGGAGAGTGTTAACACACGAATGGTGATGTCGTGCCATGTTTTGTGAGTGTTAATGCACGAAGGGTAATGTCGTTCCATGTTTTGTGAGTGTTAATGCACAAAGGGTGATGTCGTGCCATATTTTGTGATCGTTAATGCATGAAGGGTGATGCCATGCCATATTGTGAGTATTAATGCACGAAGGGTGATGCTTTGCCGATTCTATTGATTATATGGTGAGGTTGAGAATAAAAGCACGAAGGGTGATGTCGTGCATTTTCCTTTACTGTTTGTACTTGTTATTATTGATTCAAGGTATATTGGTTGATCAAGTTCTCATTACTGCTATGATTCTCTATCTTGTAATCCCCTCAGCATGTCCCCCTCCCGTTACTATCTGTCTAGCTTTTACTTGTTGTTATTTTGCACATATACTATTAAACTACACAGGTTTATATATGTGTCTTGTCGTAGCATCTTCACTACTTCGTCGAAGTTAGGCTCGACACTTACCATGTGTCGGTTGTACTGATACTACACTGTACTTCTGTGCAGAATTTGGTACCAGACCGAGTTCACCCTGAGTTTTATTGCTGGCATCATCTAATTAAAGACCCAAGGTAGTCTTGTTGGCGTTTGCAGGCCCTGGAGTCCCCTTCCATACATCCCTTTTTACTATTTCCTTTTATTTTAAAGACAATTGTATTTCCTTCAGACATTTACTTGTAGCTAAATCCTAGAATGTTCGTGAATTGTGACTCCAGATTCTGGGTAGTTGTGTATAAATATTAAGATCGTTATGGATTTCTGCACTCTTTTAATTTGTTATGGCTTAATTGTTGTTAATTGCTGAAACGTATTAAAATTAGCTTAATGACTCTCTAACGTTGGCTTGGCTAGCAAGTGAAATATTAGGCTCCATCACGATCCCGAGGGTGGGAGTTCCGGGTTGTGACAAGTTGGAGTCAGAGCACTAGGTTGCCCTAGATCTCACAATTCACGAACAGGCTTAGTAGAGTCTAAAGGATCGGTACAGAGAAGTTTGTACTTATCTTCCAAAGGCTATAAAGTTTAGGAACAAATTTCACTTCTATTCTTCTCTGTCGTGCAATCTTGTTCTCTCATTGCTAATTGAACTCTTCTACTCTTACTCTCGCAGATGGTGAGAACACGTACCGCATATTTAGCTGAGTAGCAGCCAAAGTCCCCGATTTCAACTCCTACAAGGGGCAAAGATCAAGGCCGAGCTCGTGCTAGAGGCCGAGGCAGGGGCAGAGATTAGCCCCGAGCTCGAGCAACAACACGAGTAGTGGAACTTCAAGAAGAGTTTGATGAGGAGGCTCTAGCCTAGACTGTTCCTGCCAGACCAGCTCAGGTCTCGGAGGGGTTCATTGCCACTCCAGTGCTTCAGGATGCTCTGGTCCGTCTAGTGGACCTTATGGAGAGTGTGGCACAGACCGGCACATTTCCTATGGCTCCAGTCGTCTCTTAGGATGGGGGAGGTGTCCAGACTCCCGCTACTCACACTCCGGAGCAGATGGCTCCCCAGTTTCAGACCCTAGCAGCCCAGCCAGTTGGGGTAGTTCAGCCGGGTGTTATGGCACAGACCGATGATGGATCAGCTATGTCTGCTGAGGCTTTATGGAGGTTGCACAGGTTTACCAAGCTCTTTCCAGTTCACTTCAGTGGTGCATCTTTAGAGCACCCCTGGGATTATCTTGATGGTTGTCATAAGGTGCTACAGAACATGGGTATAGTGGAGACCAATGGGGTTGATTTTACTGCATTTCATTTGTCGGGTTCTGTCAAGAAATGGTGGAGAGATTATGGGTTAACCAGACCAGATGGGTCGCCTGCTCTTACTTAGGACCAGTTCTCTCAGCTATTCATGAGAAGTTCCCTCCTATCACTCAGAAAGAGGACTATCGGAGGTTTTTTGAGCGTCTTCAGCAGGGCTCTACAACTGTCACTCAGTATGAGACTCGATTTGTGGACCTAGCCTGTCATTCTATTGTTCTGCTTCCTACCGAGAGAGAGAGAGAGAGGGTAGTGAGGTTTATTGAGGGACTTATTCAGCCTAACAAGTTGCAGATGGCTGAGGAGACTGGGAGTGAGATTTCTTTTCAGACGACTGCCAATATCACAGGCGAGTCGAGATGGTTCTATCATCGGGAGGGGGGGGGGGTAGGGATCTAATAAGAAATCTCGTCATTCTAGTGGATTAAGTAGTGCCTCATCTGGAGGTAGAGGCACTTTTGGTAGAGGTCATCCTCCCAGGCCGTTTCATTCAGCACTCCATGCTTCTCACAGTGCTTCAGGTGGTCGTGGCCCTCCTATGCATTTTCCCGATCAGCTAGCCTATAGAGCACCACTAGCTCCTATTAGTGCACCTCACTCCAGGGTTTTCAAGGTGGTTATTCAGGCCAACATGGTTAGTTTCAGGGTCAGCAGTCTCAGCAACTAAGGTCTTGTTATACTTGTGGTGATCCGAGGCACATTGCAAGGTTTTGCCCATGAGCATCAAACATTTCTCAGTATCGGGGTTCTCGTGACATGGTCCCAGCACCTGGTGTTGCATCGCCCACTTAGCTAGCTAGAGGCAGGGGTCAGATAGCCAGACGTGGAGGTCGGGGCATTAGAGGTGGAGGTTAGGCCGCTAGAGTTGGAGGCCAGCTTGCCAGGGCCCATCCTCGAGATGTAGTTGAGGGCGGTGGGGCACAGCCCCGATGCTATGCCTTTCCAGCCACACCTGAGGCTGAGTCATCTAACGCGGTTATCACAAGTACTGTTTTAGTTTGCAGTAGAGATGCCTTAGTTCTATTTGATCTGAGTTCTACTTATTCCTATGTCTCATCCTATTTTGCTTCATATTTTGTTGTGCCTTGTGATTCTTTGAGTGCTTCTGTGTATGTGTCCACACCCGTGGGTGATGCTATTGTTGTAGATCATGCTTATCATTCATGTGTGGTTACCATTGGGAGTTTTGAGACTCGTATAGATCTCTTACTTCACGATATGGTCGATTTTGATGTCATTTTGGGGATGGATTGGCTGTCACCTTATCATGCTATATTGGATTGTCACGCTAAGACGGTGACCTTAGCCTTGCTAGGGTCTCCTCGATTAGAGTGGAGGGGGACTCCTGGCCATTCCACCAACAATGTTATCTCTTATATAAAGGTTCGGCATATGTTCGAGAATGGGTGTCTAGCTTATTTGGCTTATGTCCGCGATTCTAGTGCGGAGGTTCCATCTATGGATTCTGTGCTAGTTGTTCGTGAGTCTCTCGAGGTGTTTCCTGTAGATCTGCCAAAGATTCCACCCAAAAGAGATATCGACTTCTATATTGATTTGGCTCCGAGCACTCAGCCCATTTCTATCCCTCCATACCGTATGACCCCGCCAGAGTTAAAAGAATTGAATGAGCAGTTGCGAGATTTGCTTGATAAGGGCATTATTAGACCTAGTGTCTTGCCCTAGGGTGCGCCCGTGTTGTTTGTAAAAAAGAAGGATGGGTCGATGAGGATGTGCATAGACTATCGGTAGTTGAGCAAAGTCACCATTAAGAACAAGTATCCCTTGCCGAGGATTGATGACTTATTTGATCAGTTTCAGGGTTCCAAGGTGTTTTCAAAGATCGATTTGAGGTCTGGCTATCATCAATAGAGGATTAGGGCATCCGATATCCCTAAGATAGCTTTTCAGACTCGATATGGACATTATAAGTTTCTAGTGATGCCATTTGGGTTGACAAATGCCCAGCCGCATTTATGGATTTGAGGAACCGGGTGTTCAAGCCCTATTTGGATTCCTTTGTGATTGTGTTTATTGATGATATTCTGATCTACTTCCATGGTCGAGAGGAGTATGAGCAGCATCTTCGGATCGTTCTTCAAGCTCTGAGAGATAGCCAGTTATATGCTAAGTTTTCAAAATGCGAGTTTTGGTTGAATTCAGTCGCTTTCTTGGGGTACATTGTATCGGTAGATGATATTCAAGTAGATCCTAAGAAGATTGAGGCAGTTCAGAGATGGACTAGACCCACATCAACTACGGAGATCCGGAGTTTCCTAGGATTGGCGGGTTATTACTGTTGGTTCGTGGAGGGGTTTTCATCTATAGCAGTCTCGTTGACCAGGTTGACCCAGAAGGGTGCCCCATTCAGATGGTCGAATGAGTGTAAGGCGAGCTTCTAGAAGCTCAAGACTGCTTTGATTATAGCACCGGTGCTGGTGTTTCCCACAGGTTCAGGGCGTTATACATTATATTATGACGAATCTCGGATTGGACTTGGTGCGGTATTGATACATGGTGTAAAGGTAATCGCATATGCTTTGCGGCAACTAAAGGTTCACAAGAAGAATTACCCTGTTCACAACTTAGAGCTGGCAACCATTGTTCATACGCCGAAGATTTGGAGGCAATATCTTTATGGTATGTCGTATGAGGTATTCACGGATCATAGGAGTCTGCAGTACTTGTTAAAGCAAAAGGAGCTCAATTATGATATCACCATCTTGTATCATCCTAGGAAGGCCAATGTGGTGTCCGATGATATGAGTAGTAAGTCAGTAAGTTTGGGAAGCTTTGCATACATTCCAATCGGTGAGAGACCGCTTGCATTAGATGTTCAGGCCTTGGCCAATCAGTTCGTGAGGTTGGATATTTATGAGCCCAACCGTGTTCTAGCTTGTGTGAGCACATCAGAGATCGGTAGTATAATGACCCTAATTTGCTTGTCCTTAGGGACACAATGCGGCATGAAGATGCCAAATCAGTTACGGTTGGAGCAGATGGAGTTTTGAGGATGCAGGGTCGTGTGTGTGCCTAATGTGGATGGACTTCATGAGTTGATTCTAGAGGAGGCCCATAGTTCTCGGTATTCTATTCATCCGGGCACCGCCAAGATGTTTCAGGACTTGCGACAACATTATTGGTGGAGGAGGATGAATAAGGATATAGTTGCATATGTAGCTCGATGTCTAAATACTTAGCAAGTAAAGTACGAGCATCAGAGACCTGGTGGTCTGCTCTAGAAGATAGAGATTCCTAAGTGAAAGTGGGAGCGTATCACTATGGACTCAGCCGAAGTTCGATGTAGTTTGGGTCATTGTGGAAAGACTGACCAAGTCAGCGCATTTCATTCCTGTAGAAGTTACCTATTCTTCAGAGCGGTTGGTAAAGATTTATATCCGCGAGATCGTTCGTATTCACAGTGTGCCCGTGTCTATCGTTTCTGATCAAGGTACACAGTTTACCTTGCATTTCTAGAGGGCAGTGCAGTGTAAGTTGGGCACGCAGGTTGAGTTGAGCACATTATTTAATCCTCAGACGGATGGATAGTCCGAGCGCACTATTCAGATATTAGAGGATATGCCCCGCGCTTATGTTATTGACTTCAGAAACTCTTGGGATCAGCTCTTGCCACTTTCGGAATTTGCCTACAACAACAGCTATCAGTTGAGCATCCAGATAGCCCCTTATTGGGTACAAACTTGGTGTAGGATACCTTAGACAAGGTCAGGATTATTTAGGACAGACTTCGCTCGGCCGAGTCCAGGCAAAAGAGTTTTGCTGATCGTAAGATTCGTGATATTGCATTCATAGTTGGAGAGAGAGTATTGCTCCGTGTGTATCCCATGAAGGGTGTAATGAGATTTGGGAAGAGGGGCAAGTTGAGACCTAGGTACGTCGGGCCTTTTGAGATTCTTTATAGAGTGGGTGAGGTGGCTTACAAGCTCGCATTACCACCCAGTTTGTCAGCAGTTCATCCGGTATTCCATGCGTCCATGCTCCGAAAGTATCCCAATGATCCATCCCATGTGCTAGATTTCAACTCTATCTTATTGGACAAAGATTTGAGTTATAAAGAGGAGTCGGTGGCTATTCTAGCCCGACAGGTTTGTCAGTTGATATCGAAGAGTTATCCTTCAGTTCGAGTGCAGTGGAGAGGTCAGACCGTCGAGGCAGCTACTTGGGAGTTCGAGTCGGACATGCGGAGTAGATATCCCCATCTTTTCACCACTCCAAGTATTTTTCTATGTCCGTTCAAGAATGAACGGTTATTTTAGATGTGGGGAATGTGATGACTCGGTAGGCCATCTTATGATTTAAAAACCGAATTCTATGTTCCGAGTCCTTAAAACCTTTTTTATCTCTCCCCGATTTGTGTGCATAGTCTAGGCGTGTTTCCGGAAAGCTATTATGTTGAAAGTTGATAAAAATAAGGAATTTTGCTTAAAAACTTCATTTGATTTGATTTCGGTCAACCTTTTTGGTAAATAGATCCGGATTCATATTTTGACAGTCC